GTGGCTTAGCACAAATTGATCAAGTAACAAAAGTACCAAAGATGTGTTTTCCTTATCTTGTTCTGCATGCTTCTGTTGTGGCCCAGTAGGGGCCTGCAGAGCTGGCAGCAGATTCAGACAGTGAGGAGGTTGGGGAGGGACATGGGCCAGTCCTGGAGTCTGGGGAAGGCTCTGATGAGGGCTCTGTGTCGGAGGCAGAGATGGGGCCAGAGCCATATGCCAGTTGTCAGCTGCCTTTAAAGTCAGACATCAGTGAGGCAGAAAAAAAGCTGGAGCCTGTTCCCAGTGTGCGCATGCGCAGAGTTTCCAGATAAAGGGAACAGCTAAAGAAAAGGGGTTGACTTGGGAGTAAGGCCACAGCTGGATGATGAATGGCCCCTCCGAAAGGGAATAAAAGAGGAGCGAAAGTGGAGTGGAGTTTTCAGGAGACAATTTGTTCGCTAGTTGGTTAGTGACTCTCAGAGACTCCTTGCCAAGTTTTGCTGATATCAACCTGGCAGCTCTCCAAGCCACCTAAGGTCTGTGACCTTAAATCCTCCTTTGAAAGTCTTTGCTGGATGTAAATGAGCAGAATTCATAGTATATTAATAAAAGGGTTTTTTGCCGGCACAAGGAGTTTGTTTCATGCTGTTGGGAAGCCTCAGTCAGAACAGCTTCTGCTGAGACATGGTCTAGTGGTTAAGGCACCAGGCTAGAAATCCCTGAGTTCTAATCCTGCCTTAGATATGAAAGCAGGCTGTGCGACATTGGGACAATCACTGTCTCTCAGCCCAACACATCTCACAGGATTGCTGTGTGGAAAATAAGAAAATAACAATAGCACTTAGAGTTATATACCACTTCACAGTCCTCTCTAAGCGGTTTACAGAGTCAGGATATTGTCCCCAACAATTTGGGTCCTCATTTTACCCACCTAATATTTATTATTTATTCAATCAAAAGACTGCCAAAAACATTCCCACCAGCACTGACAGGGCAAACCCCTAATGTATAAAAACAAAATGAAACTCTAGACCCTTCTAATACTGATGATGTGACCTAGGTTGATAGTGAAATGTCTGCGAGAAAACCATCAAGCTCGGAGAGAGCATCAAGAAAACCCAAAATTCAACCTTGGGTTAAAATATTGCTTCGCGAAAGGAAAGGTCCTCATTGCAAAACTGAACCTTCTTTTACCTCAGAATGAGTATTACTGCCGCTTAGATTTTCTCTGGAAGAAGAAGTTCAAGAAAGAACGTGAAGAGATTGAAACCATGGAGAACCTCAACCGGGTCCTGTTGGAAAACGTTCTCCCAGCTGATGTAGCCCAGCAGTTCATTCGCCAGAACCGGCGCAATACGGTGAGACCTGAAGGTTGATATTTCACTGATGATCAGAGGTGGTATTCTGCCGGTTCAGACTGGTTTGCCCAAACCAGTAGAGGAAATCCCGGTTGGGCCCACCCATCCCATCTCTATGACTTCCTGTTTAGGCACATTTTCAAGCCAAAGGGCCTCCACGAAAGACTGAGTGCATGCGCGGACATTTGTGAACTGGTAGGGAAGGTAAGTGAATACCACACCTACTCATGATGCCAGAAAGAGAGAACTGAAGCCAAACTATGCTAATGTTACTTATCTAGGTTCTTGACACATTGCCAACACAGGTTGGAAGGGAAGGAAGGAAGATGGCAGGAAGAAAGATTTTGCTCATCTATCAGATTTTTTTTGTGTCTTTCTGGACAACTAATCCACCTAGAAGTTGGCTGCTAAAGTTTGGATCTTGAATTGGGTTGCAGAAACAAAGCAGGTTAAAGGTTCCTTCATCTAGGGAACTACATTTGGTGGCCTCTTTTCTGCTGTGGCATCTACATTGTAGAAACTTCTTCCCCAGAGATGAGGTTGGCCTTATCACCCCTGAGCTTTGAAGGTATCTCAAGAACGGCTTATGCTAGCAGGCTTGTAGACATTTGAGGACAGATGAACTCATGAGGGCTTCGGAGACTCTATGAACGCCAGAAACGGGCCTGTTTCTGGAACTTCTGAGAGGCCAGTTTTTCATCCTCCCCCAGCCTCCATACGGGCCCTGTACTTACTTACCTGCATCCCAAATGGGCTGCAGGGTGACTTCTGATAAGGGTGGGGTGGGGTGGGCAGGGCCAACCACGGGTGGNTTTTGGATGTGAGGTAAGTGTAGGCCCTGGGCAGAGTCTTGGGGAAGGGGGGAAATGGGTCTCCTGGAAGTTCCAAAAGGCCTCCCGGAGGCCGGGAGAGGCAGTTTTCGCCCTCCCAGAGACTCAAGGAAAGCTTCTGGAGCCTGGGGAAGGCGAATCCCCCCTCCCCGCCCCATGGTGCAGGAGGCCAAATAGGCCACGCCCACTAAGCAATCAGGAAGAGAACCTGTTGCTGAAATTTTTGGAGCCCACCCCTGGCAATTGCTATGGTAACTCTCGATGAACATATTGTGCTCCAGAAGGTCATTTTAGAGGAGGAATGATGTTCTCTGTAACTCCATTCTTTCAGACCTGGGGTGCTGAAGGAGCCCAAGGTGATGGGAGCATTCTCATTCTTCATTTTCTTCTTCACCCTCTTGGGTCTGGCTAGACAGGTGAGTTCCCTCCAGTTTCCACTTTAATTCAGGTTGTGAATCTATTTTTTTTTGGTTGCTGTCTTTCAGTGATCTCCATGTCTCATAAGCTTAGGGCTGGGTGCAGGCATGAAATCCTCTTACCTTCGCTACCTGGTTTGGAACCAGGACCATGCACATGCTTACTTCGCTCACTCGCAGTGCTTCTGCGCATGTGCAGAGCATCTGTGATGACATCTGGGTGGGTGGGCGGAGCCTCCCATCGCTGTCGCTACCAGTTCGCCCGAACGGGGGTGAACTGGCAAAATACCACTTCTGGCTGGGTGACAATGCCTGCCCCATTTCTCATCTGTAATAGAGAAGAACTTCCTGGTAGGACCAACACAAGTACAGGATTATCACATAAGCTTTGGGTTGGGTGACATAAGCTTAGGCAGTGTTGGGATTCAACCAGCTTGCACCCATTCGGGAGAACTGGTTGTTAACTTCCTAAGCAATTCAGAGAACCGGTTGCTGGAAGAAATCTCATTTTGATTTTTTTTCACTTTACCGGGCTAATCCTGTAAGGAAGGCAGGAAGGAAACATTCTGGTGTTGTTTCTAGCCTAATCTTTATTTCCCTGATTACAGAAACTGCCTCTCTGGTTAAGCCTTATTAAATTGTAACAGCTAAGGCGAAGCGCCCATCGACATGAGCGACGTTGAGTTGACCATGCCCACATGGTCACATGACCTACCCAGCTGGTCATTAGGACAGAGAACCAGTTGTTAAATTATTTGAATCCCACCACTGAGCTTAGGGCTGGGTGACAATATAGAGCCTGCCCCGTTTCTCATCTGTCATCCTTTTTTAAAAAAATCAAATTTTTATTTATATATTTTTTATACATATCAATGCGTCAATGGTGATGTATCTGGGTATCATACATTTCAATACACATAAACATAACCTTATTACTCCTAAATATTACATTTCATTTCCATTATTTCATATTATTTATATATGCCTTTTACTATCATCCTTCATTTCTAAACCTTCTTTCTGTCTCTTCCATTTTTTCACTTCCATTTGGGAGGCCCGCAGAGTGATCCTAGGGGCTGGCGAGGGGAAGAAACTTCTTCAAAAAATTTACCTCTTCAAAATCTCATTGCGTCTTGTACTGTACTGCAGTGTGTCTTATAGTCAGCAAAATATGGTATTTATATTAATATATTATTCTGATATCTCCAACCCGAAGCTTAGGTGACAATGCTATACTTGCGTTGGTCCTACCAGGAAGTTTTCCTCTATGACAGATGAGAAGTGGGGCAGGTTCTGGATTGAACTCACGAAATGCACCTTGGGGAAGTTGGTTTGAGTGAAATTGCAAGGCAAGTTTCCCATCACTCTTTCAAAGTTACCTCTTCACATCCTGCCGCATGCTTTCCTCTTTTGTGGCTTGAGGCTTTGAAAATCTTTGCTCATGTTTGTCCACCAGCATTCAAAAAAGCTATTTCATGTGGCCGTGTGTTTTACAAACATCTGGTTTTGTTCTCCTTTTTTTTGTGAATGAGGGAATTTTCACGTAGTCAGTAACTGATTTGATGAAAAATAGAGCACGGTAGGGGAAAAAAATGTTCCAGATAATGTAAGAACTAGTTCGTCAAAATACCGAGTTCTTAGAATGTTTTTTCCTGGAACTTAGTTTGGTTCATTATTGAACTCTTTTTCTTTGTAATCTTTTTACCATTTAATAAAAACCACAAATTCACCACACTGTATACCACACTCACAATACATGTCACATCGATATAACCTTATCTTGTTCTGCATGCTTCTGTTGTGGCCCAGTAGGGTCCTGCAGAGCTGGCAGCAGATTCAGACAGTGAGGAGGTTGGGGAGGGACATGGGCCAGTCCTGGAGTCTGGGGAAGGCTCTGATGAGGGCTCTGTGTCGGAGGCAGAGATGGGGCCAGAGCCATATGCCAGTTGTCAGCTGCCTTTAAAGTCAGACATCAGTGAGGCAGAAAAAAAGCTGGAGCCTGTTCCCAGTGTGCGCATGCGCAGAGAGGCGAGATGAAGGGAATAGCTAAAGAACAGGGGTTGACTTGGGAGTAAGGCCACAGGTGGAGGATGAATGCCCCCTCCCAGAGGCAA